GTATATGATTTAAGTGAAGCAGTACAAAACTCTGAAATCCTTTTGTTCGCCTATGATGAAAAACCTTCTTGGAGAAATTGAAAACGTTGAAAACCTTGCAAAAGAGCTTGAAAAAATAACATAGCGAACGAATAAAATGACACTGATTACAAGGAAAACTCAAATAGGGTTCAAGTTGGAAAAAAAAAATCCTGCAAATCAAGGAGAATAATGGTTTTCTAAATAGGCCCCATGTTTAAAAAACGGTAATTTTGACCAAATGTAATAAACGAATATAGCAAGTTTATCTCAATTGTATGCAACACAAATTTTTCTTGATAAGAAGTTGTTACCACAAACTTTTCACCAATTTGTTCATCAAATTTATCAGTAAGCAGTTTTGATTTACGATTTTATGACACTGCAATTTAAAAACCAAGTGAAAGTGCCTAAAATTTCAGCAAAATTTCTACTTCAGAAGAACTTTCAAGCGAAAAAACTCGAAGGGTTATGAAGTATTAGAAAAATTTTATTGAAAAATTTTTATCCTTGTTTGAACTTTAAGTATATGAGGTTGAAAATTTTCGAAATAAAATATAAAATCTGAACATTGCTATGAGTCAGTCAGATAACAGCTTTTTTGAAAAGTTTGAAGAAAATGAATGTTTATTAGAAGAGACACGACTGTTGCAAAACGAAGCAACAAAAACTCTTAAACTCTGCGTAAGTGTTCTGGCTAATTTTGACACGGAAATTCAACCACAATTTTTCAATTTAATTTAACCCAATTTGAGTAGATGTTTGCACATTTTAAAAGACAACTATATAGTTGATTCGGAAACTTTAACATGCATTTTTTGGTAGACGGATTGTTTTATGGTCGGTTGCTAAATTGAACAATTGTTTAAAATAGAACAAAATGTGTTCAATCATGCTGCATAATTAGGTTTTAATATCTCGTTAAATCTTGTATCTTGTACAAACTTTTTGTTTCGAGCACAGCTTTTTATATTTTTGCCTTTTTTCAAATGATCAGATTTTTATGTAAAAATCAGATTTTCGAAGGTAAAGTTTCGCAATCAAGTAAGTTTTGACAAACATGCTTCTCAAGATGTGCTAAGTTCCTGCGCGACACTTTCAATGGGCTGACTAGCCTATAGTATCCACTCAAACTGGTGCGCTTCTAATGTTAAACTATTAATATTTTTGGATTTTTGTATAGCGCATAGCTTCAAATACAAGTTTATTACTACGGATTATAACAATTTGTTGAATCTCCTTATAAAGGACTCGTTGAATTTTTTTGTGAACACTGATGCCAAAAAAATAATACTTTTCAAGTAAGCTAACTTTTTTAACTGAGCGCGTTGTCGCACTGCTAAGTTTGAAAAGTTATTTTGCTCTTTGAATTGATATTTGAGCTGATCAATTTGGCGCCTATGCTACCCGTAATCTTCCTGCAGAAATGGAACATTTTGAGAATAATAGTTATCCGAAGATGGCAGTTTTAATGTCGCTGGAGATTCAGAACAATGATTGCTGTTTTAATAAATATATTTTTTGATTTTGAGCTCAAGATAGTTACAGTTCTTGAATAATATCATAAAATTTTGTCAAAAAACTAGTTAAAAAGTCAGTTTAAAAAATCACTCAGAGTACAAGTAATTCTTCGTCATTTTCTTGGAAGTCGGAACATGGTTTTTAGAGAGTTTTAACTAGAACAAGGTCGTGGTGTATTTTGAAACTTGTGAAAGAAAAAATGGTCAAATGAGTAATCCATCTGCGTAAAACATCAATTTTTCTGAAAAAAGAAACAAATCTATCTCAGTAAACGCAATTCAAATAACTCACCCATAATTGTGTTCATAAATTGGGAAAACTTCAAATAAAAATTTATTAATAGTTTTTTCTTTCCAGTGGCTATATTTTAGTTTTCCTGAACCTTGAGATGAAAAGTATAACGAAAGTAAACTTGTATTTACAGAAAAGTGTATTATCGTAGTTGCTCTCAGTATTCTTTTTTTATCGGGTCATTTTACTTGATCTACTTTAAGGAGTGATTTGGACTTTAATTTTTCCACTCAGTTCGATTCCTATTATTGTTATTTTCCGATTCACAGAAAAGTTTTGCTTATATTTATAGTAATGAACCAATAAACTGATTCGAGCATTGAAGATCGTACTTTTCAAAAAAAAATTCGTAATCAGCCAGCCCATATCATTTAACTACGTGAAATGACTAGTTCGAAAAAATAGTTTTCGGAATTATGAGTTCAACCAAGATTAAATCGCCAAGAACAGAAAATAACGAGTTTTTTGATAGTTTATTGGCACACTTAGATGATCTTCGCTTAGATTCGGAAACAAGGCATATATTATATGGGGATCTGAACATAGATACTTCACCAAAAACAAATTGACTGATCAAATGAAACTTTTGAAATTTAACTAAATGTCTCAAGAGAAAAAAATTACCAGATTTGTTGCAACCAGTAGTGCTACTTTAGATATAGTTGTTTCAAACTTTGATTGCAGCACTGCAATATCAGAAAATGTGATTTCTGATTACTATGGTTTCATAAAATTTTGATGAATCAAAAAGAGATGAAAAAACTAACTAAATTGTAGAAAATTGATTTTATTGAAATACGATGATAGAGATCAAAATAGAGTTTTTATTTGGGGGCAGGGCAAAGTATATTGAGAAATTGATAAATTTCATCTTCTAAATGCAAAGCAGAGCTTGATTTTTATAATTGATGAGCTTTCGATTGAAAACTTAAATTTTAATTTACCCATTCAAAAAAAAAAAAAAAATTTTGGGGAAAAATCCTAATTGATAATGAAATAAAAAATGCATTGAGAGAAAATTTCTCAAAAAAGTTCAAACGTTGAAAACAAAAAATAATTTAGATAGTCAACAATACGTATTCAAAACAAAATAATGATAACTAAAATGATTTTTTTCTTGATTTTGTTTAGATCATTAACCGTCATTAACCGCCACTTCAATATAAGCTTGCCTAAAATATTCAAAAAAGCTAAAACTATTCAAAAAGTTGCAAAAAACTTATAATTCAATTACTTCTACTAATGGCATTCAAAAAATTAGAAAAAAAATGAATGTTACGGGAACGAAACTGAAAAAAAGAGGGACGATTTTCACAAAATCAGAAAATTTCTGGTTTGAAAAAAGACCAAAACTCATTTTAAAACTTAAACTATTTTTTTTTCAAAAAAATACATTTTTTTCATGCTATATTTTTCTAATTGTACAATAAAGGCTTAAAAGGATGCTTCAAATTTTTCAAAAAGTTCGTATTAGGTATCAATCGTCAGAAAATATTGGGAAATTAAGTCGACAAATTCAAGCCGAACAACCTCAGTTCCAAAAATCTACTAAAATATTTAGAATCTGATAAAATATTATTATACAACTAACTCTTAACGTAAACAGAAGGCCAACAAAGCAACCATGCTTTTAATTAAGCATGCGTATTAAGCAATGGGTATAAAATTTACTGATTACCAGTTGACCATTCTATGAACAAAGTTATTTACGGAAAAAAGTCTAGTTTCCAATTGCAACACCCTTGCTTATCGCTAGGGTAAGCAAGGGTATTGCAATTGAGTACTAGACTTAAGTATTAGAGTTGTATCAGGGCGAACCAATACCCAAGGGTTCGCCCTGATACAAGCAGTCTGGTTACGATTTCTTGATATATTGTTAAACTGGTTGTTATCTATTGGTTTCGCGCCGCTCTTTTTTGTTCATATATCTACAAACCATATTGCTCAAAAAACAACAAAACAATGCGTCCATTTTTTAAAACAAAAAAACCAAGTTAAAATTGTCGTCAATTTAATTCATTTGAATTTAATGGATGAGGATACAATGAAACCTTTCAAGCTTTATATGACATATTTTTGGGTCTTTGTTTTTTCTATTTGAATGAAGATCTTATGGTGATATTTTAGTATATGTGATACATTTTGATGCTAAAACAAAGCAAGGTAGCCTTAATCTTCGGAACATTTAAAACATCATATGTATAAAAATAATTACAAAAAAGATTTTGGACGAAATGCCTTGTAAGATTGGGACAGTATTAAAATGCCAATTTCGCATGCGGCGGAAAAAAATCTTAACATAAACAAGAATGCTACTCGTAAATCAGGGTAAAACCTTTTTTGGTCTCGAATTGTTGCTATCAAATAAAATATTCAAAAACTAAAAAATTTGGACAATATCAAACATCAAGCGTAAAAACTTGATTAGTACGAAATCATACAAACAATAAGCTTGCCTAAATTAACGTTTGAACATTTTTGCAGTGCGGACTAATTCGCCACCCATAGACAAATTGCATTATGCTTTCAGCATCATAAATAATCTTCACAGCGTACATATACTAATCCGGAGCATGGCCAAATTGACAATTTTCAAACCCCCCAACTCAACAGAAAATAACGACTGTATTTGATATATTTACATTTGAAATCACTGAGTATGCATCCTAAATGGCATACAAACTTTTTTTGGCAAAAACTACTTTTTTGATTGCCGAAATTTGACGGAATAAAAATAAATAACCCAAGCATAAAAAAAATCGATATAAGCAGGGCGGACGCCCCTTCAGTAGGGATTCGACCTTCGGCTGATCCAAATTTTGAGATACCCTAAAATTCGGCGCCAATATATTGTAATTTTGATGGGGGAGCGCGCGCCGGAAAAACGCGCTTTTTCGGTTAAAATTTTCCAAAAACTGCCTCAAAACGCGATTTTTGGCTTGTTTTTTTTTTTAAAACTTTTTCTCCTGCGCAGAAATTTTGTCCAAACAGGGTCTTTTTAGCGCTTTGGTAGAGCTCGCAAAATCAATTTAATCGACCTAAAAAAAGGTTGACAAATGGGTCGAAACTTTTTTTTAAATCCCCCCCCCCCCCCCATCGAGAAAATCCTAGATCCGCCCGTGGATATAAAACAGTAAACTGAGTTTCCATCATATTGTTTTTATTTGCAGATGGAGGAAACTGTAGATAACGAAAACCCAGAAATGGAGACGTGGTTCAGACAGTTTGCGGAGCGCAAAAATCAGCTAACAATATTTCCCCACACACCTTACTCCTTTTCAGACGAGCCCGAAATTATGAGCAACTTGTTTAACAAGTTCTCAATTGACCTGCTAAATTACGAGGCTTATTCGGGTTTTTTAATTTGCGAATCCGATCCACCGAATACAACTTCTGAAATAAGCAAGTATCGTCAATCGTGTTTGTTCATACCAGCTCCCAATTACAGTAGAATTGTGCTGATTAAAAGCATTCATTCTTTCAGGGATTCTTTGGAAACGGCAATACGTGATCCTATTGTATCACAACTCAATCAACTTAATCTAACGTTCAAAAACGAGAGAGCAGAGAAAATACCAATTGTTATTCTCATTGTTTTCATAGTTAAGAAAACTGGTAAAGAGGAATCGGAAAATTGTGAAAAGATATTTGCTCAAATAACCGAATTCAACACAAAAGACTTCGAGAAACTTGACATTGAGTTTGTTTTTCTTTTGAAAAATAAAAACGCAAACCCGGGCTTGGACTTAAAAACAGAGAAAAAAAAATTGAAACAAGCAATTTTGGTTCCAGGAGAAAACTTAGAGACAAAAAAGTCAATTTTCAAATTTTTGCGAACACACGACGCCGAAGTTGACTTGCAAATAACAACGAAAAACTTCAAAAAAATTGGAAGTGCCGAAATTACTCTGACCGATTTCGACGAAGTCGTTTACATGTACAAGTTATACTTCCCAGCCAAAGACCACAGCTTAGAAATGTTACCCAGCATGATGGGGCTGACGGACACTTTGCTTTACAAAACAGGTGAACGGGGCGAGTTGTTGCAAAACTGCGAGGGGTACATTGGCGAGCAGAAAGACTTTTGGGGCAGTTACATTGCCAAATTATGCAATCCAGTGGGTCTACTAATTAAAGCTTATAGCGATGTTCAAATAAACACAATTCTTCGTCGACCTGTGTTTAATAATCATTTTGACATTGACTGGATTTATTGCGGGCATAAAATCATTTTAGCGATTGAAGTGGGCCGCACAAACTCACCCGATTGCCCAATTTATACGATCTTTAATAAACTCGAACAAGTTTTGTGCAAGAATTTACCTACAATGTACTTAGCTCTTCATGCAATTTTTCGCAGCTTCCCCGAAAACTGTTCCAGGAGCGAAGATGACACCAGTATACGATTTTGGAATTTCGTCAAAAAACGATTCCGATTTGTCATTTTTTTTCCAAATATATCAGCTCAGGCTTTCAGAAAAATTCTTCAAACAGCAAGAGAACCCTTGGATAACGTGGCAAAACAAAAAGCAGTAGCATATCGGAACATTTTTGGCCTTATTTCGACTGCAAAAGAAAATCGACTTTCCAGCATTCTCTTTTTAATGCACGAAGATCTGCACTCGACAGAAACGCCAAAGACTTTTTATGTTGAAAAAAATCTCAATGTTTTAGAAAGTCGAATGCAAATAACAGAAATTCTCCAAGCAAAAGTGAACTATAGAAAACCGAGACCAGAATACAAACGACTGGAATTTGTTTCGGGTATTTTTGCTTTTAGTACTTTGATAAGGAAAGAAATATTTCCTAGTACTGATAGTGCTGACAAAACTCTCATTTCGCGTGATCAAAAGTACCTGCAAGATCAAAAGCGGTTTTTGAAACAAACAAAGTTTCAAGTCAACGAGTCAGATTTTTTGGACGTGGTGTTGAGTCCCCAGCAGCATCGGATTTTATCCGAGAACAAACGCCGAGTGCTGATTGCGGGCGAACCCGGTTCGGGTAAAACTGCTCTTCTGTTAGCACGTGCTAAAATATCAGCTAGGGACCCCAACATAGAACACATAATGTTCGCAATTCCAGAAGAAAAAACAGAGTTCAAGAAGTTCCTCTTAGACTTCGTGGACAAACCGGGTAACGAGGGTCTGAAAACGAAGTTCATTATGGTTACCATTGAAGAAATGTCCGACCCAAGTTTGCGACGACCAGACTGGTAAGCACACATTCATATAGGTTTTGCCAGTTAAGTGGATATCCCGAGCTCTGGCAAACGAGTCGCAAAAAATCGTCGTCGAGAAAAAACTTTAACCGTTTTAAAACCGGTGAATTATCACTGGTAATTTTTTTAAATTTGAGCTCAAGACATCAATAAGTATAGGATGGTCTAAAAAAATTCCGTACAAAATTGCCAGTTTATAAGTCAAAATTTGTCTGGAGAAAAACATCCATCCTAGCCCAATTGTTGCTTCAATATATTCAAAAATTGGAACAAAAAATAAACAAGACTACTCGTTGCAGAGCGACGCCCTAAATGCTCCGACTGCTTTTTAAATTCTATGAAAAAAAAGTTGATTATAAATTGTTGAATTTTCGGTTTACCTGCATTCGGTTACTTTTTGAATTTTTCCCGATATAAACCGCAGTTCTCGTAACAAACAACAGATGCGTTTTCCACTAACAAAGCTTAAAATTTTGATCAGTTTGGAAATCTGTAACAACGTTTTCAATAATTATCAGTTTTTTTTCTGCTCAGAATCCAGCAAAAAAAATAGAAAGAGTTGCCCTAAATTCTCATAGTTTTCAGTAGCTCAATATTTCCCGGCTGCATTTTGCACTGGAGAATGCTACAAGTTTAAAATTATAGCATAATGTCAAAACGGTTTGACAAATTAACTGTAACGCAGAAAAAATGGATAAATTCACACTTTGGTTCCTAAAGGTTCTTTACGTTTGACGCTGTTTTAAAATACCGATCGGATATAAATCCAGAAAAAAATAATGATCTTCAGAAGCTACTAACTCAGACGGAATTTTTAACAACCTAACCGCACTCAAGCTTCAATTGCTTAATTGAAGATTTTTACAGCACCGTTAATCAAAATGAGAACTTTGCAACAGAAAACCTTCAGCCAGAGGCACTTAGCATAGTAGTAAGGCGTTCGCCTCTGGCTTCAGGTCTACCACAGCCTGACCAATTAGGGCTGCAATAGTGGTGCCACGTGAAAATTCTAGACACAAAGAAAGCGGCCTTGAGCCGCGAGAAAAGCTTCGCTCAACAAAGAAGCTCAGTCTGGAATTTATGGAAATAAGAGAAATGAGCTACGCTTAGACAGGCTGTAAAGCCTTACATAGATCCTCTGCAAATCGCAGAAACGCCAATTGATTAGCCACCAGAGTTTGATAAAATAGCCATACATAATCTGTTCTAAAAAACAAAATCTTTCGGAGGCATAAAAACTAAAAACACCCCTGGAAAACTTAAGAAAAACATAAAGAAAGAGAGTTTTTTTTCAAGTCACTATCATCTTTACAGTTTTAATCAATCATCAATTAAATTACAAGCAAAATTCATTTTACAACAATTTAACAAAATCAACTTTATCGACTCTAGGCAATGATTGGAGAAGATGTATCAAGGGCAAATTCAAGGCCCACTAATTGTCTACCCTGCATACAATTGTAGGAATACAATTGTAATTAATCCTAAATTAAAGTATTGATTATTATATTAATTGAAATATGAGAAGAAAAAACGTCCTACCTCGTGAACAAAAAAGATCAACTTAATCAATTTTTTTTTGTTTTTTGAAATATTCTTGTCAACAGTTTATTGAAATGTGTGTTTTATAATTTCAACATTTCAAAGAATTTATTTGTCTCTTAAACTCTTGGCAAGATTATGCTGATATTTTTCCGAGATGTTTTCGAGCTTTTCTGGTTACATACTCTTATTACTCGAAAAATTTAACAACCTGGCACCTCTATTTGTTAATGAGTATGCTTTTCTTTAATTCTTGCAAAAAGGATGCACAGAAGTGGGCACTCCTGACTTCCATGTGTTATATGAAAATGATTTCTTTGAAAATAAAGCATTAGAAAAAATTTTAGGATGTTGGCAATTTATAGATTCACATTTTGTGGAAACCTTGACTTCTGCTCAAGATAAATACATATATTTATTAAAATTTGGCATGATTTCGAATACTGGCACCAAAAAGGTAATCCTATCTAATGAAAGACGATTTTCATATATAACGGTACAGAACAAATACACTACTTAAAAAAGCTATTTAAAATTGACAAATTGTCAGCAACCAAATTATAATGAAAAACTGGCAAGATGGGTAAAAGTTCAGGAATTAGAAAGAATAAAACTATTTAGCAAAAAGTTATCGAAACTATGGGAGACGACTATGTAGATCAGTTGTAGGATATTTGTAAGAAATTGCGCAGCGTTTCCCCGTTACGGTGCTAAGCTTTGAGGTCGGTCTTTAATTTTGTCTTTACGAACGACAAAGAAGGACGTGTTTATCAAATTTAGGACACCCCTCATATGGTTTTCTTTGGGCATAGGTATCCCCATAAGAGGGAAACAAACAATTCCCTGACAAAATAAAAGAGAACCTTAATAAAATTACTTTTTAGTTCCTAAATTTTTTATTTTTTTTGGTTTTACAAAATCGGATATAAATCCCGAGGAGAGACTGTTTTTTGAGAAACAATCAGTGAGATCAGAGAGGGTTTAACTCATACGACATTGTTAACAGCTTTAGATCGCCCAACTTTCAATGCTTGATCGAGTTTTTTAAGGCACTTTTAATCAAAATGAAAGCAGCGCAACAAAAAAATCTCAAACAGCAGAGTTTGATAAGATAAGCCATAAATAGTCTATTCTTGTTATCGGAATCTTTCGAAGACATATACGCTCAAAGCTAGCGTATAAATTTTTAAATTTTTTGTCTAAAATTTGGCATAGTTTTCCAATACTAGCACTAACAAGACTGCTCGTATCAGGGCGAAGGCCTGTATGTTCCGACTGCCTTTTAAGGTCTATGGAGAAGTAATAATACGAAAAAAATAAATGTAATTTGAAGGAAATTTTTTTTATTTGAGATTTTTTGTATAAATCATCCCCCACACGCCATATAAAAAGCAAAGTGATAAAATGCGCTCCTAGTAACAAATCCATTATGGCAAAAAAAGTTTCCTTCAACCAATTTGGAACGATTTCAAAGACTTAATAAATCTCCGCTTGCACGTTAGTAGCGCGAAATATATTGCGCGTTAATTAACCCAAATTAACCAAAATGGCAATCTTTAAACCCCCATAACTTTACGAAAAATGATCGCAGGCGAAATATTTTTTCAAGTTTCAGCTCAAGGCAACTAAACCGTTTATATGATACTTAAAAATTTCGTTAAAAATGTCTAGTTAAAAAGTCGAAATTTGTCTGAAGAAAAAAAAATAAACCACCCGAGCGCAAATATTCCGTTACTTTCGTTACGAAAGTCGGAACAATAATGTATTCCTATTTAGTCAAACACGGCTCTACATTACGATGGATATAGACTAAGCTAGGTGAAGCAAACTAACTTATAGTTGAAACCAAAATGTAAAACCTTTTGGTGTCGACTTAAATCAAACAGAAATTGGTTCTAATAAGTAGAGGTTCGATTTACAATCGAAAAATTGTCAGGATCAAAATAAAAAAAACTGACGCGATGGGTAAAATTTCAGGAATTAAAAAGGTATAAAAAATTTTACCAAAAAGTATCAAAAACTTAGGGAGACTATGTAGACCAGTTTTGGGGGAGTTAGGAGAAAATGCGTAGCATGGCGCCTGTCGCAAAGCTAAGCTTATTAAGATCGCGAGAGATTCTCATCAATTTTAGGGACTCCTTCTTGGGTTTTCCTAGAGCATAGGGACCCCCCCCCTAAGATGATGGATATGGGGGACCCCCTGGGGATGCGGGACACAGTACAGTACAAATATTGCGTAAATTATGTGAATGAAGATGATGTTTCAGGCCTACTTTGAAACAACTCCATCGTTCTATTTTGCTGGTAGACGAGATTTACATGACTTCTGTGAGCTTCTTCTCAAGGTTGGACCAAAATGTCATTTTTCAAGCCTACTTGGGAGTTTTGCCTCACATGCGACAGCTTTTGTTCACGAATGTCATTGCCGGTCAGATGCACAAACGTCGAGGTTTTTCTCAGTTCATACTACCACATGGCTCTGTTTGCGAACCTTTGAATATTCTTTTTCGCAGCTCACATCACATCAGTGCATTTTCGACCGGATTTATTCATACTAACAAGTTAGTAACCAGAACCAGCGCAAGAGTTTCCGGATGTTTCACTTCACCCCAACCCGAAGTAAGAGCTCATTATTTCTCCATCCGCGATGATCCAATTTTTGCGGACGCAACACTTATGAACCCCTGCTTTGAATCGGACCGTCGGGCGATCATATTCAGTCACGACAATACTTTCTGGACCCAAAAGTTTTCTAGAGACCGTAAGGATGTCTCAAACGTTTTGGTTATTCCTCCTGTAACAGATTTCTACAAAACACCTTATACAGGCTGTGAAGCTCTTTCAGTGCTGATCATTGTTGATGATATGTTAGAAGAAAAACATGACAACGAAATGTTTATAATTTTGAACCTCGCGATAACCAGAGCCCAGTTTGAGGTTATGATAATTGTGCGAGAAAGTTTCAAGAAAAGGATGGCTAAGTTCATCAGGAGACCCACGCGGCATGAGCGGATCCTTATGGACGCGGGGAACCAACTTCCGGTGGATTTGACCTTTCTGAAGACGGTGAAATGGAGCAAAAATATGACCTCGTTTGTACAGAAGTTGACCCGGATTGCAATTCAGAGATCAGACGAACGTCTTCTGGGGTCAATACTGGACAAAGTTCCTTCAATCAGAATACCAATAGGGCGAATTTGAATTAATCATCAAAATAACATGATTACGAACTTCTTCGTTATTAACAAATTTACAAGAAAATTGACAAAAAAACGCCTTTTTGCAAACTTTAGGGCGCAATTTTAATATTTATAAGTAGGTCAACCTAAAATGGAATTCTCTATGAACTACAAAAAAGACCCTTTTGGTGGTGAAAGAGTATAAATCTTAATGGGGGAGGGAATATAGGCTTTCGTAAGATCCGCAAGATTGACTTTGATTTAAATTCGCCGCGATTCAGAAGCGATACTGGGCGCGTTCGATGAGCCTAAACCAGCTAAGTTCCTCGATTTCTTTAAACAGAGGTTAGGAGCCCAAATTAAAAGTAGGATCCTCTGGAGCCTCAGTCTTCAGAGGGCAGCGCCCAGACTCTGCAAAGCACTGGGATTATTCGATGTTACAGGTTAGATTTACTTAAATTAGAAAACAAGTGACAATTGCAAAAATCTAATTCTTATCTATTCCTTGGCGTAACATATGACGCAACCAGAAACCCAATATTTTGCGGTGGCAAGCAGCGGGTGGAGGTGGAGGAGAGGGAGGCTCGAAGATTTGACTGCGTTCTCACCGCTCAATGCTGGTTGCCCAATTTTTCCAAAGAAACCCTTCGGTATTCTTATATTTTAGAACAGAAAGTCCTTATTGTAAAACTCCAAAAACTGTTAAGGTCTTTCAAATCGCAATGTTTTATATAAAAACAGCCTTCAAGAACCATTACTTTGTTGTTTCTTTTTATGATAATGTATTCCATGATCGTTTTGAGAAAAGATTCCTCAAAAACTTTTTTTTTGCGCTCAGTTGCACTTATTTGACAATTAGTCATTGGATTGGGTAAATCTAAAGCTACTGGATATACTTGGATGATTTGGTTTGATTTAAGTTCTATGCAACGTTTTGTTACTATGATAAGCCATATAACGTATGCTATATCGGATGACTGACTGGGATGCTTTTGGCTGGTCACGGACTGTTTAGTTTCCGTTTCTATCGATGTCTAAAATCATTTCACCTTGATCTCTCTGTAGAGTTTTGCATCATCAGCAAACAATTTCTGGAAGGCGAAACAAAAATATTTTTATAACAAACCTTCCAAACAAGCTGAGAAACGGAAGTTTTGCCACAATGTTTCCTGAGGTGCAGCTAAGCTTCGCCAGATATGGTCATTTTGCGTGTCACTAGATCTCGAAATTTTCAAAGTTTTACCAGAAAAATTGCCAAAATCAACAAAAAACCATACCGCCCCACCCCCAATTAACGGAGTTTATTAAGCGCAAAACTTTCATACACATTTCAGTATATTCAAAAGATGATCGTTGCATTCAATAAACTCAGATTTATTCTCGCTCGAACTAAAAATGTGTTATCTTTTCTGTTTTTACTCTTTGCAATTGTTTTCTGAATTTTTAGTTTTTATGTTTTCTTAATCCCCATCATTTACCCAATCCGCTTTGGTTGTGACGTGAGCAGCAGTCAAAAAAATTAGATTTTTTAGTTTGCTCATACCATATGAAAACAAGTCAGTCATTACAGAGCGGATCTAAGATTTTCTCGAGGGTCAAACATATTCTAAGTTTCTGCAACCAAAACACCAAAAGAGCGAATCAGTTAAATCAGTTATCAAAAAAAAACAGACAAAAGTTCATCAAAACGTTTGATGGTTCAAAAACACAATACTTCAAATATCAAAAACTGTCATCATAACTTTGATTTGGGAAAACTTTGAACGCGAAAAATGGTTTTCTCAGAACTGGCTCTTTTTGTTGACCGATGTTCCTTAAAACATGTACAATTTTAGCGACTTTACGAGAAAATTGTGAAAATGAAAAAAACGCCAATTTGCAATTTTTGAGGCGCATATAAAATTTTTCGTGTCGGTCAACCAAAATTCAGGCGGGTGAACCAAAAGTTTTTGAAAGCGAAACTTGTATAAAAACCTCAGAAACACTTGCCAGAACACGACCAAAACAGCTCTAAACAAAAAGTAGAAATAAACCTCGAATTAGCAAAAACTCGGCTACGTGTCGAACTCGAATCTGCCACCTCGCAAATTTGAGTCTCACCCACTAACTACTTAGCCACGGATGCTTAACATCCTCAAATACTAGCCACCAATAACGCAGCTACATATGTTATTAAATTGTCATTTCGATGCAGCAAAAGTAGCACCAAATACAAAAAGACACAATTTTGCAAATAATAAATTGGAAAGCATACAGCCAAATTATGTATAAGTTACTCATTTCAGAAAAATTGCAAGATAATTTGAGTTAGAAACTTTCTGAAATCGAGCTTTTATCATTGTACTGCTGCTTGAAACAAACAATTTTTTTCGATTCATTTGATGAATTACAAATGCATCAGCTATGTTAACTTTTTACTAATCAGCTGCCAAAGCACATATGATAATATACTGCTACCGCAGCCTACTTATTCAAAGATGTCGCCAAAAGTAGCACTTTTATTTGCGAATTAGGTTGAAAAAAAAGTTTGTGTTAATATACTTAGCTTCTCAAGTGTAATGATGGATGAAAATACACATAGTTTCGCATTGCTTAAACCATTAGGTTCTGTTTTGAGACACACCTTTCAGAGATTCAACCCCCTCACCACCCGTTGGTGCTTCTTTATGACATCACTTCTCGGCCGAGCAACCTTAAAATAACTCTAGAGATGCCTTTGGTGCCATTATGTACTCAGATTGCGCAGGGTGAAGCGCGCGCCAAAAAAAACGCAATTTTTGGTCAAAACTTTTTGACGTGCCCAAACAAAATTTCCCGGAAAAGGATCTTTATGTTGTTCTGGGTGCGCTCGGATATCAGTTTGGTCGAACTAAAAAAATTCCACATTTCTGAAATTTATTTGAAAATACGATACCCTCCCCCACCCCAACCCTAGAGAAAACTCTATATCCGCCCCAGTTTAAACTTTTTTTATTGAATAAATTTCTAAACTACGCAATTAATTTTACTGCGGCACATCACTGTCACAACTTTAAGCTATATTATTTTTTGCAAGGTTGAAGAATTTTTTTGGACTATGCAGTCAATTTAGTGTGTTTTTTTTATTTATTTTAGGTCCACGTTTTACATTACTATCAGAGTCTGCACATAGCTAGCCAATTTCTCTTTGTTTTATCAAGTTTGAGATTAGCAGCCATGTAAAGGGATGCTGTTTGGGTTCCCACGGGGGTTGCACTTTGGCTTTCCGTTTAGTTTACGAGATACGAAGATTCGAGATATTTAAAACATTACACAAATTTGAAAATTTTCAGCCCTTTAGTTGGGCGCTGCCAAGGTGCTGGGGGGATTGCAAATCTTGCCCACAAATGTTTCCGCTAAAATGCTTTCAGCTTCCGAGATATGACGTTTTTAATTTCTTTAAAAAATTTCCAGAAAACTGAAAGATTTAATAATTTCCAGAAAAATTTAATAATTTCACAAAATTTGAAATTCCTAACCTTGTAGTTGACTGCATTCAGGGTACCCTCAGGGGATTCAGACCTTGCCTCAAATTGTGAGAGCTCAATTCTTTTTAGTTCTCGAGATTTGACGTTTTTATGTATTTTTTTTTCATGCTACCGTGTAGTTGAGAGCTGGCAGGGACCTCTCAGGAGATGCAAGTCCTAGCTCTAAATTTTACCGCGCAAATCTTTTTCGTTTCCAAAATCTGATGTTTTTTTTATGATCTCCCCTCCGCACCCTCCTAAATCAGCCCCTGTATATATAAATATTTAGAATTTTTTCTTTTGTTTTGTTTGCGATTGTTTTGCGAAGACAACTGTTGTCTTTTATGACTTATTTACTAAATTTTTACTTTTCTCATTGCACCATGTACAAAAAACGACACTTATTAGAAGAACTTATTCATTTGAAGACTTTTTATATGTAGTTTTTATGAACACGGTCGAAACATTTTGTGCTACTTGCACAGCAACCGGCTTTCCTTGTTCTAACTATATGATGCCTCTGACACAGCAACATTTTTTTCAGAGCCTTTCGAAATTGCCATAGTTGCTGGATACATTTCTCTCGTGACGTATTTTGCGGACATTATTGGCAAAAACGCAGCACGACTTATCGCGAAAATGTCGGGCAAACTTTTGTTTAGTGCATATTACAACGGATCTATTGAAGTAATTAACTGGACAATTAATTTTTTGTCACAATTTGAGGATTTGCAGCTAATAGAAGACGAGGTATCAAGAACTTTTAAATTTCTGACCGATGACAAAGCATCTCTTCTACTGATGATGGCATCTCAAAACTACGCGTCGGCATCTTGCGCTCAAATTTTGTTCGACCATGGGTTTCCAGATAAATTACTTCTGCACGAGCTATTTGGAAAAAATGCTCTTCATTACGCAATTTCGTACGAAAACATTGATCTCATTCATGTTTTGCTTGAATCTGAGAATCGACGAAAAATTTTCCTAAGTGTATTGTACGACAAAATGACCGCAGACAACTTTGCTCGTTCTCTTCAATTCGATGACATTGCCAAAGTGTTGGTGGAATATTACGAATCTTTGGTCGAAACAACTCAAGATGAGGATAATGAGCAGCAAAACAGCGACATTGCCAGACTAATTTCAGAAAGGCGCCCATAATGCGAGAAGCTTTGGTCTATCGTTAAGACATTCAATCACTGCTAGCTATAAATACTGTAAATACTTCGATATATAGCACAATTTTCATGTATAATTGTATATTTCCGTTTATTTAGCTGCGCTTTGGAATCAATCGTATCCATCATAGTACAAGCTGGCCACAATATCCAAAAAATAACTGGCATTGACTAAAATGAATGCCTGGCTCTGATATGTTCCAAAAAAATGCCGTTTTCTCTTTTTGAAAAATTTTAGCACAATTGAGAACAGCTAATTTTTCGAAACTATATTCTCAGAACACGGTTTCTCAATTTAAATTTTTGTCCAAATTGAGCATTGGGGTGGAAGATCTTATCTTGGTCTATCTCTGGGTGTAGGGTGATGTTATCCCGATCCAAATAAATCCCTTGCCTTGCTTATTTTGTTTTTAATGTATATTTTGAGAAGTTTGGAATTTATCAAGCTTACTTCTGGCTTTCTCGCTGTCCGTTCTTGCACTAAATTTGTAAATTTGAGTATCGAGCTGAATAACCGATGTACTTACTCATAATAAGAAACTAAAGAGAACGTAGTCCTATTTTTTTTAATGGCAACAGATTTCTAAGTTTACTTACCTCTTTAATTTAATACGAAAAGCTATTGAGCATGGAAAACTGAGAAATCGAACATAGTCAGGGACTTACTTCACAAAAATATAATGATATGAAAGTCATGTCCGACAAAACCAAAAAATAGCAAAACAATTTGACTGAAAACTTAACCGCTCACCTTGCTTGAGTGGATCCATACTAGATGCAATCAATGGTAACCCAATCGTGGCTCTTGATCGTTTGACTGAAACCTACAGACGATTAATGTTCCAGAGAAAATTGTTACTTAAAAACTCAAATAGGTGTGCGTTTCCTATTTTCTTTCATTTATCAAAAAAATGTTAGTCTGACTATGTGGGTATCAGTTTTTGTTGAGATCAGTACTCTCGTCCTCAAGGACAGTTTTTTGAGCCCAAAGAGCATTAAAAATCTTGATCTACTTCAATTCTAGTTCATGTTTGTCTACTTCTCGTGAAAATAAATTATATTCATTTTCCAAGGAATGCTTAGGACTGAGAGGAAAATTTGAGACTTTGGAATTTTCCCAAAGACAACAATTCTATTACCAAGAAGAAGCCGCTTCTGCAGGAAGAACTCGCGCAACCTCTTATTTCGATTGAACTTTTCATCTCAATTTTGAAAGGGTAGTTTTCAAGAAAAATCAAAAGCAGGCCGTGTGACCGGATTAGCAGAGAAGATTCCCGAAATCGGGTTTCTCGATTGAACACTTAACCTGATAATTGGCACAATATTTTTCGAGTTAAGTTACAAAACTTCCAAAAAACGGTCGAAGTTTCAAACTTTCACTTATTTGAAGGCCATAATTGTTTTCAAAAACGGAGCGTAGCAAATTGAAGAGGTAAACTTCCAACAACCTGCTGTGTCGATTAAACCTATGATATCAGATTTGGCAGAATAGTTATCGAGAAAAGTCCAAAAAACGGTCAACAAATCAGATAATTGACATTTCCAAGAATTCTAGCTTTTAGTTTCTAAAAAAATTGCGCAAAGCCGCTTGTGCAGAAGAAAACTGCCAATCTGTATTTTCGATTGAAACCAGAAACCCAGGTTTGGCAGGGTAGTTCTCGAGGTCAGTCAAGAAGTTTCAAAAAACGGTCAAAAAACAAAAAATTTGACTTTTCCGAGGGCCATAATTTTTTGTTTTAAAAAAATTTGGGCGTACTCGCGTATTCAAAGAAGTTTTCCACAACCCGTTTTTGTATTGAACCCAACATATCAGATATGTTAGGATAATTTTTGATAAAACTCACTAAATTATATAAAAAACGCTCAAAAAGTCAAAAAATTGACTTTTCCAAGGACGATAACTTTGTGTAAACAATTTTGAGAGGCCGCTAAAGCATGGAAGCTTCCCAGTACCCGTTATCTCCATTGAACTCACAACCTCAAGTTTGAGTGGTTAGTTTGAAAAAACGTTTGAAAAAAACGAAACCAACGATAATAAAATCAAACATTTCACTATTCCGAGGGCCATAATTATATTAGTCAAAAAAAGTTTGGCAACTAAGCCGACAAAAAAATAAGCAAACAAAAATAGTCGGACGAATTAATTGCTTCGCGCGGATATATTTTCGTCGGCAATAAAACTGGGTTCGAATAAATGACCTTTATCGCCTCAAGAAGAATGCTACCTTCACACTAAACAGGCTAAATTGAAACCACGAACTTGATATACTAATAAAGTAGGCAGACAAGACAAATGATTGTTTCGTCAAACGAGTTATTAGAAAAAAATTTACAACAAAAAATATCAGATCCTTTTTTCCAAAATTATAACATTTAATGCGCGAACCTAATGGAAAGCATAAAGAATAGACTGCATTCATCATTTCTCTGCTGCTTCGGTCTGAAAAGCACAATCAAGGTGGCCATGGTGCCTCGAAATCACTGGCACTGTTTCTCGCGCTGATGAGAATATTACATGAAAAAACTCTCTTTATAAACCTGCTCGAGCGAGTAAAACTTGAGTAAAACTAGGTTTTCACGGCTTATATTAAGCTTAAATAAGCTATTGTAAGCCTACACGGTCACCTTATTAGCTCGAAACTAGACCAGAAATCAAATATTTCAGACCGGTTTTTCTCGACACTGTGAAAAAATTTTGAAGTTCAAAAGGTCATTCGAATCACGACTGAAAGGGCTTTAATGTGATATATCACTCGACCCATTCCGATGATTATTTGTGGTACCTGATTTTTGCAGGGAAAACAAAAAAACTAAAACACCCGAATACAAAGCTCCTCCCCATTTTCAATGGTCGGAACAAAAACTAGGAAAAGAACTTATTCGAAATCAGAGTTGGTAAATTACAAATTACGGAATAACTTTTAATAGTCATTCCTTTATACTCTTGGGTGATTTTTTTTGCTAAAAAAAACAAGTTGAATAAGTTTTAAATAATGAAAAGAACAAATAGTAGCAATAATAATTTAAAGGATATTTTTGAAATTGATGAAACTATTAGAGGTTTAATGTGGATTAGAGAAAAAACATTGAGGGAAATTGGAAAGCAACAACAACGTGATATTTTTAGCGTAATTCAAACAGCCAAACACGCTTCATGGACAAACTTGGAGAATTAGAAAATCATAAGCGATTCTCATAGGCAGGCCAAAATCAAAACGGCTACCTTTTGCTATGATTCCAGATTTTTCAAATTGAAGGCAATTCAAACAAGAATATACAAATTATTGCGAACTCAAAGCAGATCACATATATGAAGAAGGGAATTGTATTTGGTTACCATATTCATGCATTTACCACTCGCGCAACTTAAAAATAAAGAAAATTTGCACAAAGTATTTAATCACATATTTTGTATAACCACTACACGTATAATACTGCTTATGCCAAATCGGAGGAACTTGAGCGCCTTGTTTGGCCAAGAAACAAAGCTAATTCGGGTAGTGGCATTTTAAGATCCGGTCACTACATTATCGTTGAGATTCTAGAGAATTGGTTCCCCACGGCAAAATGTTGTTTTAGATGGAGTATTTCTTTCCGTTTAACTTCTTTGGCCAACAAAGATTTTGCTAGTAAATCATATTTATCAGCACAAGCACGGGCGATTTAAGTGCCATCGCCTTGAAATTGAGAGTGAATCATGGACGGATTAGCTTTGTCTAAGAATCTGCACCGAACAACGACTACCTTATGTACAAAATTTAAGCAAATACGAAATCATCGATCGAAAAACACGGGTTTTAGGAATTTAGACGACAGGAAATTAGACGATCAGAAAATAACGGAATTTAGACAAAAACTTGCGTGCAATTGCGGGAAACTTAATTACAGACTTAAATTATCTTTTGGCAGAGTAAATACTGGTTGTCCGTAAATTCAATTTCTTTGCGATCGTCTAATTTGCTTGTCGTGTAATTCCACAGGCCCCGAAAAACACATAGGAAAAAAGATCAATGCGAATTCTTAAAACTATTTGGCAATGTCTAAATTGAGTAGCACTTCACAGGTGATAAAACTCACAGGTCACTTTTTCTATTAAAAAAAAACTCCAAATTTCTTTCAGGCTACTCCCGACCTCGTTAGAAGTACGGTCCCGACCTCGTTAATGAGTCACATTTTAAAAACGCCAGCCACACCACGTGAAATCTGCGTGACGTGAACTACTTCAAGTCAATGAAAACAGGAAAAGTTTTAAGCATTTCTTAATTACTTAGATGAATTGTTCAAAAATATCTATTTACTGGAAAAACTTTTCAAGGAGAAAAAGTATAAGAAAATCATTCGACCCAAGCTCTCAAAATTGTTATTTTACTGAGACAACGAAGGTAAAATTGGACAAGAAAACAGTAACTGAATCGCAATTTGATAGTTTTGAACGCTAAATTATTTCCTTAATTATTTACGTTATTTTAAATGATTACTCGTCACTTTTTTACGGACCACAGGTAATGTTTTGAGACCGTACTTCTAAATGAGGCTTGTAATGGGAGCATAATTCTAAAGGAGTACCCATTTCAGCTGTAAGCAATTTACCCATCGAAGTAAGATAATCGGATCTCAACTTTGCAACCTAATCAGTTTTGAGCAGTTTTCTCTTTTTCCTGTTCAGTTTTTAAATAATATAATGAGATATATCATTTCACTTTTTTGGGTTCGGGTTTTGGGCTTGCTTGTTTTTGGGCACTTTTCGGATCTCGATCTCCCTCGCCCGTTACTTGAGTTTCATCTTCCTCATCTTCGTCGTCATCCTCGAGATCTGCTCGTGAGGAGCTACCGGTTCTGCTGGCATCGACATAGACCTTGCCCGCATCTTTAGAGTCTCGAGTAAGCACCACTAGAATCATGCGCGACATCAGCAGGATGAGAAACACCGCGACACTTCCTGTTTTGTCGAACTTGTTTCCTATGTAGAAATTACTGAAGAGGTAGTCTGCATATTGCAGAAGGAGCATCAAGTTCGCCATGTTTCCCACAAAGAGGGGAAGAAAAAACATAAGCAGCAGCAGACCACAGAAGGCTTCATTGGATCCCATCATCTGACGATAGACTGAAGGCAACATGGAAGGAACCTCCAATTTCTGCTGAACAATTAGCTTGAAGAAACTTCCTTTGAAAAGCTCTTTGTGTTGGGTTTTCTGAAACAATCGGCGTAATTTAAACCATGCCTTTCGGTGAGTTCTTCAACCGAAACAGCTTTATATTTCACAAAAAAATTTTCATATCGAAATTACATAAGATTCATAGTCAGAATTTCTACATTGGACGAACCCAGGTCCCTTGCTCCGAAAGACGCCATATCTCGATAGTTTTGCGATAGTTTCTTTTGAAAGAAAGAAAGTTTATTTCTCCAAATCAAAATATTAAAATCAGAGTTATTCTCTATTTCAGAGTTATTATCGCTAATCCTGAAAATTTTAGAGAAACAAGTGGGGATAGACAAAAAGCATTTTTCATGGCTACTTTGGCTATACCTGAAATTTAATATACATAAAAAAAATGAAAAACTTGATTATACTTTATTTAAACAGAAAATAAAGCGACACAAAAAATATATTCATGTTGCTTAAATAAGCGGAAAATGATAATGAAAACATTCATACAATTCAACTATTAACAATAAAAAGCAATGAGAAGCAATGAAAAAACATCGCCACACAAAGAGCTGCAAAAGAGTTTATTAACGCAAGTAAACAGAAAAAACACAAATTGTATTTTTGAAAAATTTTAGGCTTTCGAATTTTAAAGAAAAAAATTCTATGCCCTTGAAGCTCTTTGAATTTCTGGAACAATTTGTGATGGGTACTTTTTTTTGATAAAATCAACCCTTTTATAGTTCGATAAGAAAGGAAATGAAAAGAACATAAATAAAATCAAAAGTCAAATCGCGAAAAATACATTTGAGCCTGAACAATTTTTAAGTCTTTTCCTGAAAAAAAAACAGAAGCAAAAAATCATAGCGATCTATATAAGTGTCTGAACTACTTTCATCGATTCTTTTCTTGGAACAAGAATTTTAAAAGAACAAAAAAATCAATTCAATGCTAGTTAAATGTAACATTTATTAAGCTATTAAGAGCTCTGATTTTTGTAGCTTTTTACCTATGTCAATTGCTCCTTATTGAAAAAAATACAACAGAAAATTTGTCTGAAATACAAAATTTTCTTAAATTTTTTTTTTTGATATTTGAAAATTCGTCCTAATTTTGAATCTCTTTATTTCAATCGGTGTGATGAGATTATTGTATGCTACTTGCAGAGCTACTGGCTAACCTTGTACAGCTATAGTTTTCATTAAGACCAGTGAAAACATCAAAATCTCGGAAACTGACTTGATAAGATAGGTTTTTGAGTAAGAACTTAAATTACAAATGGAATGTTTGAGCTATGTGATACAGTACCAAACTGAGAAAAAAGGGAAATGCTCTTTTTCAAATTTCATCATCTGTATTAATTAAGCGATTTTCCAAAATTTTCAAATAAATGGCGATTTGTCGAATTCTCGAATATTTGATACTTCATGATTCATGACTTAACACCGTGAAGATAAGCTTAAATGACTGCCGAGTAGCATTGACCTCATTTCTTTAGCAACTAAATTGTAATTTAAAAATTTTTTAAAAACTAGTCCAAGATAAAAAGAAATGATTTTAAAAGGTTATATATCATAAAAAACAATTTGATTGTAAAATTTGATATACAGCCCTTGGATTTCACTTTCATCGATTCCGAGTAAAAAGTATCTTCAAATTTGTGAACAGAAACGCTTTCATCATATGTATTACTGATACAAAATGTCATGGCTGATTATGTCGATAGTTACAGAAGGAATCAAAAATAACCCATTCAGACCAGCTGCATGATTTACGCTTCAAGGAACTTTGAACCACATCTAGGCTAGCTTTTCACATATTGGCATCCTCTATTTGCAGCTAACTTGGTTATTCTGCTATTGTCAAAACCCACTTACTTGACTATTATACTGTGCCTGGGTTAAAACAGTACGATTTAAAAACAGAAATCGGGTTAACAACTTCAGTTATTTCGATTTGCCTTCTGACATCAAGGGCATTTCGATCCATATTTAAAGCTATGCCTATAGTCAGAGCCACTATAGTCTTATTTCACATGTAGCATGAAGAAAACTGTTTCAATCAATCACAACCGATTATTTTAATCAAGTAATAGCTCCTAAAACCGATTTTCAAGTATGTTTTACTGCTCATTTCAGCTCAGCTTTATGTGTCTCATATAGCACCGGAATGAAACGCTCATCCATCTTTTATTACTTGGCAATAAATAATAGGACCAGTAGTACTTGGGTTTCTACTTTGGATCAGAAAACAATGAACTAATAAAAAAGGATCTACTTAACAATCCTTATTTTACGAAATAGGGGAAGATGGTTGAACCATTATCGGATATTTCCAATGGTAGATATTATGAGGTAAACCCCATATTACAGATTAAATGTGTACTAACTAGTGATTTATGCATTTCGACGCTGAACCATGGACCCAGTTTGTTCAGGCCCATGATGATGAAGTAGAGTCCTAGGATGACAGACAACATCTTGACACTCATAGCTGCAGCCATTCTTCGATTCTACCACTGAAAGTCTCTTAATGACAAGATCAAACAACTGAAATCATACACAATTCAGATCAAACCACACTCTGTCCAGCTCCTAAAAGTGGTTAGCCCAAAAATACGTCAAGATTATGAACTTTTAAGACAGCAACCCGCAAACAGTGGAATATTTACAAGTAGCTGACACCCCTCTATTCTTCTAAAAGGAAATCATTTTGGAGAAAACGCTACTCTTTATTAGCCGTCCTATTAAAAACTATCGAGTCTCTGATATGTAGTAAATCTGACCGGAAAACTTTTTAACACATATTGCAAAAATGGGAAAATTGTTTTTTTTTCAATAGTTTGTAAAAAATCTAAATAACGTAATTTTTTTTTAATTTCGAATGAATTTGTTAACGATTTCGAGCAAAATTCATCGTCATCTTAATAAACATAAAATTTAAAACAAATTAACAACAATTCTTGCAAACCAAAACTTAAAACTCATACACTTGAACCATATGGAATATTGAAAAAAAAAATCTTTCTAAAGTACAGAATATTGAACGTAAGGAAACAAAACAACTAACTTGTATATATGCCCTGAAAGCTCTTTGAATCTTACGAAAAATTTATGATTGGTGCTTTTTTGATAAAATTAACCAAATTTGAGAAAATTGGATCATTAGGTAAAAATTTCGTTTCGCAGGGAAATCTGATAATTAAAATCCATGTTGGAAATTAGAAGTCGATTACATGTTTCGTGAACTTTCGCTGTTCGATAGTGGAGTTTGGCTTCCTTTTAGCAAAAGAAATGAAGCAAACTTTAAAAAAGCAAAATCAAACCACGAAAAATCAGAAGTGAGCGTGAACAAATTTCAAGACTTTTTACTCAAAAAACAAAAATAATCCCAAAGCCTGTATAAGAGGACTCACTACGATCATTACTCTAAAAATAGCTGAAATTTCAAGAAACGTTTTTGGACTGTTTTTTCAATTTACTTCGAGATGGAATATTCCATTTTGCAAAAAGTACAAGTCCTGGACGGTCTCGAGCCCCAGACCTTGGGTCATCTTGATCCTTGAACTTAGAGTATCTATGAGCCAAACTTTCAAATGATTCACTGACTCTATTAGACAAGCTGTTGTTAAACTGAAAAAAGGTATCAATTCCGATTTGATAAGGCTTGATAATCGCCAGCGTAACCACCAATGCATTGAAAATAGAAAAAAAAGAGACGATATCGATCATTTTCTCTTAAAAACGGAATTCGACAGTTTTCTCGACACTAAAACAGTGGTGGGAATAAAAAATTAAGCTTCAAGAAAAAATAATTATTTTAAAAAAAGATTAAGGAGAAAACACGAGATTTTGTAGACAATGTAGTTCGAATCAAAACTGAAAGCGTCTTAAAATGATGTATCACTGGATAATCTCTTAACACTTACTTAAGATGTCCCGACTCGCGTGAAAAATTTAATCCAAATTTATCCTCACCCCACTTGAATATTGCACCACTTGCGAAAGAAAAATGTGCAAAGGCCAAAAAAATTTAAAAGCTGTCATAAATGTTAGGAAAATTAAGAAAACAACTCGAAAACACAAAAGAAATTTTTTGAAACATAAGTACTTGTACATTACCGGAATACTTTGAAAGGGTTTTTAATTATAGTCAGAAAAGCTTGACAAAATGCGCTGCCGCAACTAAGCCGACAAAAACTAAGCGGGCAAACAAAAATTCGACAAAGACTTTGGCCAGAATTGAACCAAGGTCCTAGCCCGATTCGAACCACGGACCTTTGTTTTCGCAAACATGTGCGGTTCTACACGCTACATGAACGGATTAACCCCTTGATTTTGATTTTATGAGCCGAGGTGTCAAATGAAGCATTGATTTTGTCATGATAGTTGTCCACCCGAAAAAAGTCTGTATTCCAATTTGATAGAGCTTGCTGAATCAGAGCAGTATTTCTCGACAGACAAATGTTCGAAACATTTTCTTGGAATCTAAATCACGGCATCTAACAGGGTGGCTTGAAACTGATACCGTTCTCAATCAAATGATTCCATACCCGAGCTTGGTTAAAAGCCGGGAATTATTGTAAATTATAACAAAGAAAGCCAGTTTTCAGGAAAGTTGGTAACAAAAATAGTCAACTAACTTGAAAAACTTAATTAAGTCCTTTCTGGTTTATGGTTCAAAAAATACCAATTTTTTCTTTAAATGGATCTTGAATCAACTGTGATCGGAACAAGCTGTCTAGCTCACATTGCATTGGGCTAATGATGCTAAGATATCGTCAGTTTGCTTAATTCTCTGCGCTTCTTTTTGATCATTTGAAAACAATATTATACAAACTCAATTAATCTATTGAATTCAAATCATAAATAGTAGCAAAATCTCAAAGATTAAATGCAAAACTCCCAATAACTATTTTACTTTCTAGTATTTTTAAATAACCAGAATAGAACAGGCAACAAATAAGCCAAATCTCATAAATTGTGATTTATGCAAAAAAAGGTAGCAGGTTTGATTTACGAATAGAAATAAATTTGTTAAAAAACAATTTTGTCTATTAATTTGGAATCGCGTGCATGCAAAGCTGTGAAAACCCAAAAATGTATAGCAATTTCTGGCGGTTCATGTGTACGATACAATCCAATTGAAGGTAACATCCTTCAAGCATGCCTGATTGGTTCTATCGTGGTTCTAGGGAAACAATGTTGAGACGATGTCGTCTCAGATGTAGGAGAACTGCCAAATGTCGAAAAAGCAGGCGACTGAATGAAGGTAGAAATAGGTTACAAAAGGAGTCGTTGCCACTCTGATATACACCCAACTCTCCCAGTAGAACTGCTGCTCAACCCGGTGGATGTTTGCTCCTAGCCTATACACCATCAGCATCCACAGCGCCACGTTGCACGCCAGTATAAACACTATGTACTTCCTAGAGCTTGGGTCGTTTTTACGAGTAGCCTGTCTTTTCAGAGCGTCCAGCAGAAAAATGACCTGGAGCAAAGCTTGCAAAAGACACATGGTGTAACTTAATGTCGGGACAATAGTCTGTAAGAGATCGTTTTCTAACTGTAGAAAGTGTCCAAAGCACGAGACGATACAAAATAGGTAGTATACAAAAATTGCAACTAAAGACATCAGAAGAAGAGGTTTGTCAAAAATATTGTGGTACGTTTTCTTCGCTGAGAACAATTGGAAGGCTATTATGCACTTGAAAATAGTGGCTATCATTAAAACCATCAACACAATAAGATATACGTGGTACGCGATTACTACACTTTCGATCCCCTGACTGTTTTCGCCGCTGTCGCTTCTTTTATTAGCTTCGTCTCGGTATACGGCAAACAGGAATATGAAAATGGTAGACACTAGGAAAACTAGCAGTCCCATCAGAATGCCTATGCTTGTATGATGACAGTTGAAGTATTTGGATCTCTGACTGAGGTTGTAGGTCAGTCTACTGCTGATTCGTTTAGCACGTTTCTTAACATTGCACCACATGTTAGTTATGAAGGCGGTAGCCAGAATCGCAAAGTTTATCGCAAAAGGGTAACCGTACTTGGACACTGAAGTCGAGAAGTGGAGCAACGTCTTGTTCGGATTTGAGTAGTTCTCTTGGCATTTAAGATTTCGCTCCAACTGCAAAAAATCTTCCAGCTCACTAGGGGGTTTGGTAACATTGGCCGGTAAATCGGACGGTAATTTGAGTTTGACCTTATTTGAGGAGTAGAATTGCTCTAAAGACACCTCAGACGCAACTTCCGATACGACTGTGGTAAAAACCAGGTAAAGGTTAAGTGCTGTAAAATGTGCCAGAGCTACGGAGACTAAACATTTTTGTAGCGAAATATAAACTTTGGAGTGAACTATTATTAGATAAACCTCTAGGTAGCAGAAAACGAGCACAAAGCCATAATGGAACAGTTTAGGGACGTGCTCTTCCATGCACAAGTCCATAATAAATGCAATTGAAGCGCTGATTTTAGCAATTTGGTGCAAGGAAGTTAGAAGGCACAGAATTATCAATGCGCCCCTGAGGTAAACACTACAATGCCTGTGGTCTCGAACAAAACCCTTTGGGTCGTGCTTGGACAACTGGCAAATAAATATGAGAAATACTGCGAAAATTACACCGATGATGTAGAGAAGCACTGAGAAGATGTGAATGGTTGACTTCTTAACTGCCCCAGGTCTGTAATATTGACATGCGAACAGGTTAAACGATACCAGACAAACAATCACGCAATACGCAATACTCAGGTATTTCGAAGAACCAAATCTCTGAAGGAGCGACTTATCTTCTTCTATAAATTCGTCCTCTTCGCTCATTGGCACCATAATTCCTAAAGGATTCATACTGGGGTTCATAAGCGAAGGCCTTGGTAATGTGTGCATACCATCAGCAGCCGCCCTGGACAATGTGGCCGCTCTAACTTGACCCATAGTACCAAACTGGTGCGGTCTCTGCATAGTTAAAAAGCCCGACCTATCATTCAGTATCTCCTGAGAGTGAATCCGCTGATGGCTTGCTAAAGTCGAAAACTCTGGAAATCTGGAAGGTGGTCTGAAGCCCTCAATATTAGACTGGATCGTCGGATCATCTTGCCTCGGCTGATTTCCCATGGTACCATCTCGACTCCCTGTCCCGTATGGTTGGTTCGATGACGATGAAGACACTCTTTGTGCACGGGGAAGAGATGTTGGATTCCTGTTGATTGGGTAGTCATCAGAGAGAATTGCCCCAGCTAGATGTCCAGTCGCGTTTAACTCCTCGTTTGTTGGAGGAGGAGGTAATGGAGAAGACATTTTCGGCGATGAAGGAGTTTGAGGCGAATTTTCGTTCTCAGAGTTGGTACTGTTAATGACGACTTGTGCATTGACATGAACCAATGAGCTATTCATACCCCTCATCAGACTTCCCGATCCAACTGAATTGATACGCGACCGCGTTTGCTCTAAACTACCAGTCATTCCTTCATCTAGAACTGCGGGTGGTTGGGGCGCTGGACGCCTAGGGGGGCCTAACACATCTTCGGACTGCTTAGCTCCTCGAGATTCGAATGGCTGCTGGACAGTTTTGTCAAAGTCTGGCGTAGGAGGTGTCACTTTGAACGTCACATTACCATTGTCATCTCCCGTAGGCGAGGAGGAGTGTTGGCTGTCGTCATAAACTTCCTCTGAGTCGGGAGGTGGTGGCATAGGAGGCGGACGTGAAGGAACCTTCAGTGGACCTTGCGACAAAGTACTGTGGTTGCTGAGAGCAGATCCAGGTCGCTCATCGTCATTGTACGTAATTCTGTATGACATCGACATCGTACAGATTTTTCGACGAAACGCTACATTTTGGATCTATCGAAAATCAAAAAAGTTAATTGGTCGTCTCAAATTAACGGCAGATGCGATGATACAAAAAAAATATATTGTCTTGAAAAAATCTCTTCAGCGGCACAAACAGAACAGGTCCCATTCAAATTTTCACGAGCGCTTCAAAATCAAGAAAGTCAATTGTTGTCAAAATAAATTTAACCAATCGTAATCCATAAAAAAACACTTTAATAGCCAAATGAAGATATTTTCAAATACGCAAATGTATGTCAGACATACTAGAAATTAGGTTTAAAATGAGGAACAGTTGAATGTATTGCTCAAAAAGATTTATAAACCATTGACAAAAGAATTTAAAACTTTAACTGCCAAATGAAGATAATTTCAAATATGCAAGTGTACGTCAAACATAAAAACATTTGAATTGAAACGAGGTATATGTAACATTCGCCCAAAAACTACACAGTGACGGAGCGTATAAAAAGTACCTATTGACGACTGGCCGGCGTCAGTTACCTAGATTCTACTCGTTTTTCACCGTCTCGACCTAGCCAGTTGATTTTCTAGTCTGTCTAGGGCTAAGTAAAAAGATACCATTTTTAGGCCATCAGTCAAACGACTTTTAATGAGCTTCCGATTACATGCGAAAGCAACCACATAGCTGGGTCTCGGATCCTCAGACTACAAGATTGCTATTATAAACACGGCTCGAATATCCTATTTTACTATGTTTTAGGTGAAAGTTCTATATTAAATCCATTGGAGATGGATTGACCCTTTCCTTTTTCTAGCTACTTATATTCTAAAATAACAAATAATACCGGTGTTCATTCAAAGGTTTATGGCATCAGAGTAGCTGAAAAGTCAGTTCTTCACAGTCCTTCACCATATATTGTCTCTGCTTTTTCTGTAATGACGTCGTGGCACGGGAGGGTACTGCTCTTTACTTCTTCCCCACAGAAGCCCCATTTCTGGCTAATTCCTTCCGCTAAATGTCTAATCGTGCGTGATCGTCACGATAATACAACCAACGATGCGGGGAACAAATGAGTAATATACTCACTAAGCTTTTCAGTAATTTTAAACGCATACGCAAAATGCCAACGAGTTGGGAAACAGCGGCTGTAACACCCATTCACAAAAAGAACGACCCAAAAGATGTTGAAAACTATCGCCCAATCTCCCTTCTAAACATTGACAGCAAAATCTTTCAAAAATGCATGTACTCTCCACTCTACGAGAACTTTAAAGACCATCTTTCCATAAACCAACACGGTTTTGTGAGAAAACGCTCCGTTATGAGCAACGTGATCCAATTCCTCAATCGAAACTACAAAGCCCTGGATGAAAATCCCCATGATGAGATCATTGCTTTTTATGCTGATTTCTCCAAGGCCTTCGATAAAGTCCCCCACAAATTATTACTCCGAAAATTGAGTGATATTGGTGTAGGTGGATGCCTACTCGAAATCAACTACGACTATCTCAGAAACCGAAGGCAATTTGTTCGGGTTGATTTCTACACATCCACCGTACTCGAATTAAGCAGCGGGATACCCCAAGGTTCACTCCTGGGCCCACTCCTGTTCTGTGTTTTTATAAATGATCTCCCCGAAAACCTACGCTTCAGTGACCCCTCAATATTTGCTGACGATCTGAAAATTCTATCCGTTGGACGCAAACAAGATGAAATACAACTTGACTTAAACAAAATCGAAGATTGGGTTAGACAAAACAACATGATTCTGGCATTCGAAAATGTAACATTCGCCCGGAAGATACATATCGACGGAAAATAAAACTAAGTCCTAAGACGACTGGCTAACGTCTAAACAGAGCTTTACATGCTTTTAACCGTCTCTACCAAGCCAGTGCTTTCGGTGGTCTTTCTAACATCGGGTCGACAAAAAACGTTACTGCTTTCGGCTTCGGTCAAAACACTCAAATTAACTAGATTACATGCAGATATAACAAGCTCATGGCTGGGTCTCAGTATCCCCAGACCACGAGGTCACTCCTAAAAACAGGGCTACTACTACATTTTGAATTATTATTGTTTTTGTTCAGTAGATAAAATCATCATCTCCATCGAAGATGGATCAACCCTTTCCCCCAACTCCTAGCTTCTCATCCTAGTAGAATGAAATCAGATGTTAATTAAATTCAATTCAGGACATGATAAGGAAGCCAAAATTTATATAAAACACTATCAGTTCCAGTCCCGAGACCCCTCCGAATTCTTGAATCCGGGGAAATAAGGCTCTTATCTTCCTTCCGGAAGGCTGTCTTCCACCCATCACTGTTGTTCGCAACGGCCTTGCAACTATTGTAGCGACACAATAGTTGCAAATCGGAACGGTCTCTGCTATTCCTGCAATCTGTTGTTGTTTCTCAATCACAATTTCCGTTGTTATCGTCAGCGCAACTATCGCTGTTGTGTTTTTCTTCCGGTTTTTCTGCCAAAATGGCCGTTTCTGACGTTTCTCAGAAATATGACGTCATAATTCGAATTTTTAAAATTTCAAAATACCAGAATATTTTAGCCCTCACCGTTTTGCCAATCGTTCCAATAACGCTCTTATTCCTTCAAAATCGCCAATTCGGAAGGTTCACTGCTGGAATTTCGAATATGCTGAATCTGCATTTTTATCCATTCTGGTCGAATGTCACATACTCCCCGGACAGTCCGGTCAATGTCCTCATTGAATCTCGCAATGTTCGTAAAATAGGTACAGTGTCATCGAACAGAATTTACAAAATGCACGAAATCACTTTTATCCACGTCATATCGACTCACTGCAGAATACAAATGGCATCATACTACATCACTATAGCCTTCAAATTCTTTCATTAATCTGCACATTGAGGATATGACCTAAGAAAAAACATATTTTCCGACTTCCAATGTCAATGTCCTGATTAAAACTTTTTCTCCTAGATTTAAAAGGTGTTGGTTTGCAGGACAGTCCTGCCAACCAACAAGCTAAAATTATCCTACTATGCTTCTTCCCTTCGGAAATCTTGCTTGTTATTTTCCTGAATTTTAAAACTAAAAAATTCTGTGGTTAGAAAGAACAATGAAACAATCTCCCTCTTCGAGAGATTACCCAAGCCTTTCATGTCACCACAAAGTGATCAGTTCTCCTAGCTGATTAAAAACAATCATGCAGGCTGGAATATTTAAATATACTTTCTCACTCAAGCCTTCCTAAATAAATAGTAAGTAAGTGTCTCTAAAGCCACTCAACTAAAATCAAAATGCAAATTTATAAATGCAACAATTTCAAAACTCAACTAAATGTTTCAGTTTTCAATTACAACTTGGTTGCTTGGTTTCTCACTTGAGTTTTTTCACACACATAAAACAATTCTGAGTTTCAACTTTTTCTTCATCACTCCTTTGTTTTCTTCTTTTTTCGCCGTTTAGAAATTCTAAAACTTCTAAATTCTTCTAATTTCGTCTCTTTTTTCATCTCGTTTTTCGGCCATTCGTCAATGTTCCATTTCCTCCTCCTGTGATAATGACTCTGCACTTTCAGTTTCTGTGTCTTGCAACACGTCGTTAGCTATCCTGGCGCTGTTGGAAGCCGTCCTCCAACACTTCTGCTCTTCTACCCTCTGTTTGCAACAAGGTAGGGGATCCACGTTAGATTCTCTGTTCCCGCAGAAGCTGTTGTGGAGACACAACGTCACATTTCTCTCCAAATCTTCCTTCAACATCTCTGTTTTCTCCTTTCCACTACGTTGACTTGTCCTGGAAATTCTTTTCACAGCGGTGGTCACTGCATTCCGATGAGTCACGAGAGCTCGCTTGAAAGCTCCTGCTCCAATGTCAAGCTGATATTCACTGTACACTCTGCCGTGCTTAGCATATTCGTACAACCATGCAGTCATGTTAGCTCTGAACCATGGCATCAATCGTTTTCTTGCCCATATCTTCTTCACTTTCATCGGAATGTTTAGAAGTTTGCTCATTGTCTCAAAAAGATTTAAATCTTTTAGACAATCTAATTTCCACAACTGTTCTCTCGTCGGTGCCTCCTGTCTATTGTTTTCTTTCACATGAGTTTCCAGCCATCGTATCGCCATCATAACTCCCACTATCACTATTGTTATGGGCTGTGACGAGTCTGGTAAACCCATGGAGAGCAGCTCTCCAGAGTCCCAGATCAACATCAGATTACTACGCTTGGGATACCACCAGGTCTGCAGCAAGCAGTGGCAGGGAAACTCGTCATGTGTCAACATGATGCTCCTCCCATTACGTTTTCACGAAGCTTCCAGTAATGGTTCCACTTCCATCATCACTCGGTGGACTTCATCATTCTCGTCTACTGTATTGTAATCTGTGACAGTTGATCCTATCTGTTTCTGTCTCTCAAAGTCACTGAAGTTCCCGCTCACGTATCCCATGAACTTCTTTCCTAGTATCGATTCCAACTCTTCCTTGGTTCTCTCTGGAACTGCTGAGAACATCTTACATAGCAACTCGTAAAATTTCTCGGACATTCTCGCCAGTCTCACACACTTCGGCACTGAGAAGGCTTGATCCACGATCGTTCTCGTACTCTTTACATCCACGGCTACAAAATGTACCGGGTATCTGCTCTTGCACATTGGAGCCAATGTCGAACCCACCAAATATCGTGCTCCCGATGGACTACAATAAGTTTCACTGCATGTGGTGTTCATTTCCGTCTCGATCGATTCCCTCCATTTTCCTATGTACTTCTGCTCAGTCTGCAGAACTCTTGGGAATACTTCTACACTGATGGCTGTGACCATCTCATGTTTCTGTTCTAGATTCAATAGTGACTCTAAAGAACCAAACATGCTATAGAATCCTAGTGCAGTCACTAGATTCACCTCGGTTCCTCCATGGCAATCTGCTATCAGTTCCGTTTCTGTTCTTGCTTTCATCACGACGTTTCCAAACAATACCGTCAATTGCTTGTGTTGTTTCTCTAGGTTCTTCACACAGTCCAGACCTCCACAAACGTGACCCTCCAGTCCACAGACTTC